GGGTTTTTACAGAAGAATGTTGGAATGTTCAGTGTTCTCTCTGCTACTACTCATTGTAGTCTATACTACTATATATCTCAACAGATGCACAACTATATACACCCTTACACACTAGCGCGGTTCCTACCGAAAACAAGAATTTTTAGTAGATAACCACACTAGCGGTTCAGGAACGGAGAAATAGTGTTATGACCATAACACACCATTTTTATAACCGAGAGCTTTAGGCTGTGCTTACTTGCTGAAAGGGCAATTTTTGACTTAACTTAGCATGTCTTACCAAGGTTTTATCAGAGGCTCAACATGTTATTCCTCTTCCGTATTAGAATAAATGACGTTAGGAGTCTATCAAATTTTTTGAATAAAGAAATCTATAAAAGAAGTTTATTAGTATTAAGGATACCTTTATTGACCAGTTTCGGTCTTCCTTTGCAAAAGGTCGAAATACGCTTCCATATATGTTCGATAAATTTAATTGAACCAGATAAAATTTTACTTTATTTAGTTTGTATCCATTTAATAAGGTAGGCCATATAAATTTTTTGTTTTGAACTTTCAAATTCTCTTTTCTTGTATTTTTATTGGTTGTTTCTCGATTTCTGAGTTGATTAATCACTGATCATTTTCCTGTGAAAAATTTGAGGGTTAGTGTTATGTGTTAGGGTATTTAAACTGACGGGTATCTAAACTTTTAAGCCCTTAAAATTAATTGTAAACAAATGTATATATATAGATGTACATATGTGACTAAAACAAAAAAAGCACTAAAAAATTAGCACGACCCGTCTTTTTTCGTGAACCTTCATTATGCTAATAACTAAGCAATGAAATAATCGATAATAATCAAAAAGTTACCTAAAAATGGCAATTTGCGTTAAAACTTGTGAACTGGGATCTATTCCTCCACAAAGTCTATGCCTAGCATATCGCGTTAAGCGTTAAAAAAGGTGTAACCCAACACTCAAGCCGTCCATCAAGGCTGAAGCTTAGATATTGGCCACCGAGATGGAGAAGTCTACGTAGGCACTAATCACTAACTAAGCCTCTAGGACAAAGGGAGGATAGCACCTGCCAAAACCTTAAACAAACACACTTGGTTTTTTCCAGCTTTTAGAGCAATGCTTACACTACATAGTTTTGTTCCACCTATAGCTCCCCACAGTATATGTAACCATCAGTCCTCTTATTTCCAAAGGAAGAAATCCAGTGTCGATTTAAAGGTTTTTATATTGCAGTGACCGGGGAGAACAGCATTAGCTCAAGATCAAAGGAAACCTCTCGACAGTAGAGGGTGACATGAACACAGGATTGAGAGCTTCATTTAACATATATACCATCCTCGGATGGTACCCTGTCATGCACTTTAAATACTACTATTTACGGGTGAACGCGAGGAATAAATTCAGCGTTGGATGTGCATACCTACCTTTTTAGGCCGCTTTACGATATTGGTCAAGAGAGAAAGAACAACCCTCGCTCCAATAAAAAATGTACTAGACTATCTCGAGGTCCCCAAGTTATGAACCATCAACACCACGATACACTGTATGTAGGATCTTCCCAGCTGCCTAGAATGGAGATCTTTATATATGACCCCAATTAGCCGACAACACTGTGATCGCCAGCGATAGTCCATCGATAGCCTAGGAATTAAGCACATTCCGCACTGAGGGAAGATAAAAGATATAAAAAGTACAGCAAGCATACGGGACATGCTCGCGCATCGACACGAGCGTAAAAGCTCGCACCTCTTATACTTCACCTTTTTAAAAGGCTTTATTATGCGAAATAACCCCTTATTTGGGGTAAATAGTGTTATTACCCAGACCTTATTCTTGGGGGGGGGGGCTCACGATCGAAAGTAGATACTAGGGGACATTACTATCGTACATAGAACTCTATCACATACTCTCCCGTAAAGAGAGGTAAGCGCTATTCTTTTAGCTCAAAATACTAGATCTGATCTAGCGAATAAATTAAAAAGAATACTACTTAACATCGTAAATGACTCCGAATAGACCTGTATAAGATACAAATATTTTACCAGTTTTAAGCTAGTGTGATCACCCCTAGATGAAGGTTCAATAGAGAAAATTAGCACTATTTATTTAACCATTTCCAAAATATTCAAGGTAGTAGTACATAGTAAATAACTCTGTTAGTTAAAAATCACTCCTCTCAGTAAGGAACAGCACAGCAGCGTGTTTTTCAAACATGGCAGTTACGCCAGGATCTGGTAGGATCAAGACACAATATAACAGGAGCATATTAACTGCGCATGACAAAGAGAAGGTTACACCTTTTAGAGGTACTACAGTCTATTCCATGTCTTTCCATTTATTAAGCTATTGTTTCTGGCCGTGCGTGCGTAAAGCAACTTTCCAGCTCTCCTCGGTCTACACTAAACTAACTTTCACCTAATACGCTGATCCGACTTGAAGTGGTATGGCGCAAAGCTCTCTACGATAGTTGGAGTTAATATATTAAAGTAGGAAAAGAACCTGATGACTTAGTTAATGACGGAGAAAAGGGGGGGAAGAGATCGAGTTATTGTCCCGGAAAGGAAGGGTATTTATACCTTCAGGGAAAGAGAAACAAAATGTAGAAACAAGTGCACGATACAAAGTGGCACGTGGTCTTCAGCGTGATACCTAATTAGGTCACGTGATACGAGCATACGATATAATAAAACGTGGTATATGTATAGGTGGTATGAACACATGATTTATCAGAGTTAACTCCACCAGTTTACTAAAGTGATAAACCAGGAATGTTAATAAAGTTATACTAGCTGTCAAGTACTTTTCATCCTCTTAAGGTTTAAGGCAGGTCCTAGTACTTCAAAGTAATTATAAGTTAGCTATAAAACCCTAATCAATGACTTTAATAAGCCCAAAAGAACAATACTAGTAAAAGATAATAACAGAGAGTCACCAACTAGTTAAATTTAGCCGACCTCTCCAAACCTTTGGCATAGCCAATCAAATGAAGGATCACCGATACAAGCTTTAAAGAGAAGACAACTACGATAAGCACGCCCACCAATAAAAGGTACCATAATTGTGACCATTAGGGAGAATAGAAACTGTAATTTTATTTAGAACATTAAAGTAGTTAGTTAAAAAAAGAATGCAAGCTAAGGTCGTATGCCAGCGATGCTAAGAACTACATAGGCAAACTTGTTTGACCCGACGTCGATATAGCCTTTTTAACTTAAACTTTTGTCTTATTTCCATCCTATAGAGATCTTAGTCTTTTTTCCCACCCGAGAATACTCAACATAACGTCAAAGCAATTTATAAACTCTAGGGTAAAAGTACTCCCGTACACTAAACTAAAAGCCCCTAGCGCTGTATTTTCAACAACATTAATGGAAAAGTCACCTTTTGACATGATAAAAATGGAGCTCTTTAGCACCGTTAAAGAAAGATAAAGTAGGTGCGTATTTCTCTATTATCTACTCGAGAGCGTCCTTTATTCAACGGAGTTGAAGCTTTCAGGACAAAATGAGTTGCTTTTTTTAACGGGTCTACAGTTCTTCTGTCATACTGCAGCAACTTTATACGAATTTTCGGATTTTTTTTGTCCACAACAGGAGCAGCATAACTTTTTAATCTAGAATTTTTAAAAAGAAATAGACTAAACAAGCATTTTAAGTAACTGCAGCTTCAATATGGCTATCAATCCCAGTTTAGATTTAACTCTATAAAATAACGTCTACATAGAAAAGCGCGTAATAATAAAAAATTTTACTTGTCCTTAAACTTTTCTGAGAAATAAAGCCAACTTCCTCATGATAATATTAGAAAATATAAGCTATGAAAACAGAAACTATAAAAAGTAAATAAATTTTTTACGTTTGTGTATTTAAAAAAAAAATTAAATTCTAAGAATAATAATTCGCTTATTGTTTACAAATAACACTAAATTTTTGTCTCTCTAATAAGTTTCCCAAGTAATAAAAATAGAGTGAAGCATAATATAAACTCATTACTAATAATTTTTACTGAGCAAATGACCAAGTAGAGTAACACGCTTCTTTAACTAGTGCCAATTAATAAGAAATGAGCCCATTGCATGTAAGAAACCTGAAAACCTCAAAATTGTTTATTGAAATTCAAATGCTGTATACCACAAATTTAAATATAAAAGCTACTAAAAACCAATATGAATTTCGCTTAATTTAGAAACGTAACCAAAATTGATGCAAATATACAATAGTTGATTGGTCGAGATAGAAAGCTTATTAATAGAAAAATTTTCAGTTACTATATATGTTGAAGCGCCTTATATATGTACTAATTAAATTTATATGCATATTTTTAATATTAGTTTTGAATGCTTTCTTGTAGTAAATGGTGTTATTATATCTAAAAAACAACTACATGATTGCACGGCGTAGATTAAAGTTTAGACTTTATTGTTTAGGGGCATTTCTTGTAATATTTTGCTTGATCAGCTATTGTAATTTTAGAAATATAGCAACTTCTTATCTTCGGTTTAAAGTTGTAGCTTCGAGAGTTTTAAAAACTAGTGAAATACTTGAAATTTCTTTAAAAGAAATTCAAAATTTCAATCAGCTAGGGAACTGGGTAACATCCCCTTTTTTAACCTTTTTAAAACTTTTTAAAGTTCTTAATATTTCTTTGTATTAAAACTTTAAGCTAAGAAACTTTAAAACTTTTCACACTAAATGGCTCAAAAATCTTAATTATGTGCAAAAGAGTATTTCAGGTAAATATTTGAGAAACCTAATATTATGTGTAATCACACATGGCCATAGTAAAGCCTTCAAGAAAATTATATAAATACACTGAAAAGTTGAAAAAAAAAATTAATAAAATTGAAAGCAACGCTTTAGCCTTTATGCGTCCTTCCATTGAACCTTATAGGTTTCTTTCGTATAATTATAAACTTAATCTTTTCTTCTTCTTTTTAAAGGTTAAAAGTAAAGTTTTTTTTTTAAGTTCAAACTTTTAATTAATAAAACTGCTGCATATATTTGCTATTATAATTTACTATGAAAAAAGTCATTATTCAAAGTACGTTTTTATTGTCAAAGAGTCATCACTTTAAAATGAGGTAATTTATAAATTGGCAGTGGAAATTATTATCCTTATATAAAATTTTGAGGTTGGTTTTATATAAATTTAAAAGTTAAAAATTTTTAAACATTAGAAAACCAACCTTACCAGCTTATATATAAATCAGCGTTACAATTGCTATTTAAGTTTTTTTTGTAGAGCTTTAATAACTAGATGGAGGCAAGAGAGGGGTATCGTCGTTCCTATAGGAAACGAGGAAGCCTATTACGGTAGTACCAATTTGTAATGCAAATTTTTTTTTTTAATCTTACGTTTGTAAAAAAAAAATTTTTTTATTTAAAGGATATTCATCTCTGAAAGCGCTTCGTGATTTGGGATGTACATTACCAGTGGAGGTGTTTTATATGGGCCCGCAAGATTTGGCTCCTTTTTATATAAACATGTTGGGCTCAATAGAAAATGTAAGCTTCGTAGATTTATCAAGCATTGTAACAGAAAATCTTGAAAGTAAGCATTTTTTTTTTTAAAATAAAAAAATTAAGAAAAAATTATAAAGGATGGGCCTGCAAACCTTTTTCTTTGCTTTTTTCTTCCTTTAAAGAAGTCATTTTAATGGATTCGGATGTTATTTGGTTTCAGAATCCCCAATGTTTGTTTGATTCTCCTCTTTATAAATCAGAAAAGGCGTTATTTTTTAGAGATAGAAAATTTTATAGAGTGCCTAAATTATTTTTGAAGGTATTTTCTAAGTTGCCGTATAAAACATCGGTTGACCATAATAAAGTTAACATAAATCTTTATAGTGGGACCCCTTTTATATATGGATTGCTTCATTTTTACACGGACTTGGTAGATTAACAGAAACGGAAATCTATAATTTACGCAGTTCTCATCAGCAAGAAAGTTCCGTGGTGGTTGTGGATAAGACTCTACATTTCTACTCCCTTCTAGCTACTTGCTGGCTAAATTCAGATGCATTTCGAACGGAATTTTTTGGAACTTACCTTTTTGTGTACGGCGACAAGGAAACTTATTGGCTCGGCTGGGAAATGATGGAGAGCAGAAATTACACATGGCACACTCAATTTCCAAGAATGATCGGGAACGTGCTTCATGAAGGCCAGCTTTGCTCTTATAAACTTATTCAGGTGGACAATAATCTAAAGGCTCTTTTTATGAATGGAGGAATTGTTCATCAAAAATACGCGTCTCCTAAAGATCTTCGATTTATTAATGTGACGCACTGGAATAAGTACATCCCAGACTCATATTATTGGAATTACAATAAAGGATTAGGATTTTGTACGGAAGACGCTCCATTGTATAATTTGGATGAGGAAATTATAAAGAATTTAATTAGAGCAGCCAGACACTTTGCGAGTTCGTATTCAAGAGAAGATTCAAACATCATTGATTTTTTTGCATCTTTTGAAAAACATATACGTTCACTACCGAGCTCTTAACTGCCTAGCAAAATGGTATTTGTTTAAATAAAGACATAATATGAGTCTATACCTTACTGTTAGAGAAAGAATATAGTTTTAAAAATTTCATAACCTTAAAAATATAAATTTTTATTTTAATTAACAAAAGCTACTACCTTAAATTCTCAATACTTATTGGTATTGAGGCTAAAAGTTAAGTAAATTCATAACAAGTATACTAGTTTTATTTCCAAGAAAAGATTAAAATTGAATTGGTGCACGCGTTTGAAGGAGTTTTGTTAAGTAATTATTGTCTTACTAACTTTATATACTTTATAAAAGGACTAATAGTTTTTAGTTTTTAGTTTTCCAGTAATTAAAGGAGTTCAAATTGTTGATACGCTTTTCGTTTATCAGTTTTCATTAATTGTAAATAAATTGAATAAAGGAGTTAAAGTTAACAATAAAGAACTGAGCTGGTTGTTTTTCAAGGCCTCGAGTCTCACATAGTTATTAAGAATATCAGTTGAACTTAGTTTAGAAGTAGGAGTATATATTTTACTTAAAAATACTAAATTTAACAAATAAATATAACTAAAAGGCAAAAGAGAAAATTGGTTTTTAACGTCTTCTATAATTTTTGTTTGGAAAACGACTCCGAAGTTAAAACCTTAAAAATATTACATTCAGTTATATTTATTTTTATTCTTATTATAAATATTATAAGCCATTATTAAAAAGGCGAAGTTTATTTGGTTGACAGGCCTAGAAAAATATTTTATTTAATTGTTTCCTAATAAATTATTATTAATAGTTTAAATATATAATATTAAATAGTAAAATTAAAAAAAAAAGGTCTAAGTTTATTTTTTTTATTCAACCACAAATAGTATAATTACTTTTTTGTTATCTAAAATACTTCATTATAACTGTTTCCGAGTAGATTTATAAATATACATTTAATATTACTCTCTATTATTAAATAATTAAATAAAAACTACCACGCTATTATTTCAGAATTAACTGTATATTTAAAAGGGTCAATACCAGGATCTTATAGGGAGCAAAGGCAAAAAATTTACTATTATGACATATCCATTTGTTAAATTAACTTTTTATAAATAATGTTTAAAAAATAAATTTTTTTCAAGAAATAATGTTTTTTTAATAAAGAATTTAATTTTTTTAATCTATGACGAGTTTAAAGACTACATTTTTATATATACACTTCCCTTGAAAAATATAATATAAAAGGAAGTTCTAAAAAAATTATCAATTTCTTTATTAATAACGAAATCAGATCGAAATTTTTTATTAAATTATCGGTTTGCCGATAAAAGATGTACATAATTTTTTTTTGGCCTTTAAAGAAGTTTAAGGTAAATAAGTTATTTATAACTTTTGAAGCGAGATCATTAGTAATTCCCTAAGAATTAAAAATAAATTAACTCCGAAAAACAGTAAATTAATAATTTAGAAAATATAATAAAAAATTTCAAATTAAAAACTAATTTTTAAAAAAATAAAAATAATTAATTTAAAAGTAAAATCTACTAATAATAAAAAAACAAAAATGTAACTAAAGAGGAATTATATACAATTACAAATAAAATTAAAAAAAATAAAGTAAAACTTAATTAATTTTTACTTAATTTATTTTTTTAAAATTTTTTTAAATGAAAATTATAATTTTGAATATCTTTTGTGATGCTGATAAATATAAAAACAGTAAATTAGTAAAATTTAAAAAAAATATAAAAAAAGCAATTAGAAAATAAAAATAATTAATTTGAAATGTAATATTGACTTTATAAAAAAGTTTAAAAACTATATTTATAAAAAATAAAATTAAAAGTAAAACAATTTATTAATTTGAGGTTTTTTTTGTTGTTTTTATTTTTTTTCAGAATTTTTAAAATATATAATAATTGTGAGTACCTTTTGTGAGTCAAATAAAGGAAGCATATAGACGAAAGCGCAGAAACCAAAAAAATACAATCAAACCAACGATGATAAAATTGAAATTGTATATTTCCAAGAACTTGTGTAACAATAATTCTAAAAATAAAAACTAATTATAAACTTTTTTTAATTATATCAAATAAAAAAAATATTCAACACAATTTTTATTAAAAAGAATTAGTTTATTAATAATTTTTTTTTCCTTTAAATTTTAATAATAAAAATAGAAAGTAACAAAACTTTCATAAAATGATAGTAAATAAAAGTTTATTAAACATTTTTAAAGTAATTTTCCAAAGACTTTTCGGGGAAAATATTTAACAAGTAATTAAAAACTCTTTCAATTTAAATTATAATAAAAAATATATACAAATAGAAATTGTTAATTATAAGTGAAGCATTATAAATTTACTATTTCCTAGTGGTAACCAATAAAAAGATAATTTTTTGCATAAATAATCGTTTTAACAGTCATTAAAAAAATTGGTTAAAAATTTATAAAAGAAGGAACAAAAAAACTTAAAGAATGTTTAATTATAAGTAAAATTTTATTTTTTTTAGGGAAAGCGCCATCGAAAGATGACTACTTGCAAAAATATTATAAATTTTTATAATTAAAAACTTTTTGAATTCAAATTTTTTGGTAAAGAAAAAATATAAACTATAAAAAGTGTTTACTCAATGAGAAAGGTATAAACTTTTTTTTTCAGAGGTATACCATTGAAAGAAACTTTTTTAAAAGTAATTACTTAATTATAAACTTTTTTAATAAAAATTTAGTAAAGAAAAATAGGACCAAGAAACAGAGTTTACGTATAATAAAAACATTGTAAACTTTATTTGTTTCTAAGCAGTGCAACGTTAAAAGACACTTTTTACCAAAAATTTACTCAGTTATAAACTTTATTTAATACAGTTTATTATAAAAAATATACAATAATAAAAAGTGTTTATAATTACTTACCTGTAGCTATAAGGCAAGTTCATGCGTAATAATAAAACTGAAGATACAAAGTACATAACCTAATAATAATAGTAATAATAATAATAATAATAATAATAATAATAATAATAATAATAATAATAATAATAATAATAATAATAATAATAATAATAATAATAATAATGATAATAATAATAATAACAATAATAATAATAGCAATAATGGTAGCACCATTATTTGAGCCAAAAGTAAAACAATAATATTTGAAGATCGGTTACTTGCGAGTGCTGAAAACACCTGAAGCATTTCATTAAAAAAAATTCATTTTTCATTAAAATTATTTAAGCAATCATTAAATAAAAAGCATGTGCTTAAATTGAACCACTTTAATAATTTGGTTGGTATTAACGATAAATGGATCATAAAATAGAAATAAACCGAATTATAAAGACCGTTCTGTTATTGACTTTTAAAAAATTTTAAATTATGTACTGTAATTTTTTAATAGTTTTTTTTATAAATTATTTTTTAAGAAAAAAAATTTTCTTATTTTTATGAATATAAAGAAATTGTCTTTTTTTTTTTCTGTTTTGAAAGGTTTACCTTTTATTATTGTAATTTAATATTAAATTTATTTTATTAATTTTTTTTTCATTTTGAAAAGTTTATTATTTATTATTTTAATTTAAAAAAGTTTTTGTATACAACATTTTTGTTTTAAAATTTTTATTTAATTTATTTTAAATTTTTTAAAAATATTTTTTGTTTATAAATAATTTAAAAGTTCCTGTTTTATATTTTTTGTTAGTAAAAGAAAATTTTTTTATATATTTATTGTTTTATATTTTTATAATAAAATGAAAATTTATAACTTTTTTTGAAAAAGTTTATATATCATTCAATCTTTTATTAAATTTTTTAATTAGCGAGCTTGTTTTCATATAAATATTATAAACAAATATTTTGTTTCTTATATATTTTTTTTCTATACTTTTAGTTAAGACGTTATTTTTATTATGTGAATAACAATACTTTTAAAGCTGGCTTACATATATAAGTATTCTTAAAGTTCCTCTTTTATTATAGTTATTAACTAAATTTTTAATTTATTTTTTAAATTACATATAAATGTTAAATGTTTAAATATCTGTTAAAACATAATAACTATATAATAATAAAAATAATGATACGAGTAATAATATAAACAGTTTCAAAATTATAACAATAATAATTATATATATATTTTTTTATTAATTATGTATAAATTTAAAAAAAAAAAATTTTCA